AGCCACCATTTAAAAATCAAGAGATTTTGTTTAAAAATCCAGATTCCCTTGAAATGCTGAAGGAACTGACCATTCTGGGCTTACATTCCTGCCTAGGAAGGGCAGGCCAGAGCAGCAGCTGCCCTCTCTAGATGAACTCCCCACTTGGCCACAGTCCCCACTACTCCCCACTGTTTCCCCAACCCAGCCTGCTTTCTTCATTTAAACCTGTTGAAATCAGTGAGCATTCCTAAGGTGGTCTTCTAATCACTGTACAATATATACTCTAAGATTCAGCTCATTCTGGCACTCAGTTGGAAGTTTTTTGTGTTTTGATTTTTTTACTTCTTTCTCTCATTTTTATCACCATAGTCCAAGAAAACTCTTAGAAAGCAAAGAATGAATCACATATTTTGTGTCTCCCACACAATTCAGCACAAGACTAGGTACAATGTAGATAATCAATTTTTGTTGAATTAATGCAGAAATTAATGAGTAAACACATGTACCTCTGTGGTCATCTTCCATACCTGCCCTTCTTCCTCAAAACTCTACACTTTTGCTACTAAGAAGATGGATGCATATGTAATAAAAAAATAAAGCACCAAAGTCAATCATTGCATTTCTATTTCAATTTTCTATCAGGTTGAAATGGAAATGGAAACTCTGAATAAATGCAGAACTGATCATGATGTCTGGCAGCAAGATGAATCAGAAGCCCTGGGAAAGCCTACAAATAAGATCACCAAACATTATCAGTGATCTTTGAGGGAATCATAGAGAATAAATAGGACAGGCGCCAAAAAGCTGGAGGCAGGCAAATGTTCTAATTTTCAAAAGGGGAAAAAAGTTATAGTTTGCTAGTTCCAGACTAGATAATGTGATGTCACTCCCAAGCAAGGTTCTTGAACATATTTGTTAACGACACTTATGAGCTCTGAGGACAGGAAGTAATGTCCATTTGGCACCAGCATGGGGTCACCAAGAACAAGTCATGTTAAATTCATTTCATTTTCTTCTCTCTGACAAGGCTCCCAGCCTAGTGTATGGAGAAACACAGCAGACACAATATACATGGTACACTGAGGGAGCAAGCAGCACAAAAGGCTAATTCAACCCTTGGGCTATATTAATAGAAGTATTAATATAAGACAGCAGAACGGAGGTGATAGTTGTCTTGTCTTTGGTCACATCTAGAGAATCATATTCAGAACTCAGTTCTGCTCTTGATATAGGATACTGAAGTATAATCTTTGGAGGCCCTTTTGGCAAAAACCTCTTTAAAAACATAAAGCTTTCATCCAGATTTCTGGCATCTGTTGAAAAATTGGAAAATCTGACTGGGCCTACATTCCTAAACCTAAATAGCAATAACTGGTTGAACCTAAGTACTGACTGCCCATTTAGACAGGACATGTACTCTGAGGTCCGTCATAATCATCACCACGCCCTCTTCTACTGCCTGCACTTAGGTGGTGGGCCAGCTGTCACAAATCTTTTATGTGGCCAGCTTCACTCATTTATTCTATCTGCCAAGCACCCAATGACACTGAGGTTTGCAACCCAGTATGCAGTAGAGCCAAAGGAGAGTGGAGATGGTAAGTGGTAGTGAACCACCTTATTATATGAGGATAATCATTGTCAGGAACTTAATCCCAGGCTCCACACACCCCATGGGCAGTCCCAGGGAAGACGTATCTGTTTTGCTCTAGTCCAAAGGGTAAGGAACTATAGAACAATAAGTAAATGAGAGACATATTCAATGCAACATTTTAAAAAAAAAATGTTTACAAGGGTCAGGTGCAGTGGTTCACACCTGTGATGGGAGGCCAAGGTGGGTAGATCACTTGAAGCCAGGAGTTTGAGACCAGCCTGGCCAACATGGTGAAGCCCCATCTCTACTAAAAAATCAAAAATTGGCTGGGTGTGGTGGTGCACACCTGTAATCCCAGCTACTCAGGAGGCTGAGGCTAGAGAATCACTTGAATCCAGGAGGCAGAGGTTGCAGTGAGTCCAGATCATGTCACTGCACTGCAGCCTGGGCAACAGAGCAAGACTTTGTCTCAAAAGAAGAAAGAAAAAATGCTTACAAGAGCCAGAGCTGTCTAAAGATGATAGACAATGTGGGCTTGGGAGGTGGTGAGTTCCCCATCACTAGAAACATGCAAGTATATGGTTTACTACTGCTTCATAATCAACGGGCTTCAAGTATCTGATGAGGTAAGAAGAGGCATGAATCTTTCTTTCTATTTTACAATAGAAAAAATACTGTTCTAAAACATTCCTTTTTGTTAGGTCTGTAAATTCTTGAAAAAGAGATAAAAGGGAATAAGTCAACAAAGAACTCAGCACTGTTTTTAAAAATCAAAAGTTCCCTTCACAAAATTTACAAAGCAAAAAATCTGTCTGACTAGGTGAACCGTTTGTATCCAACTGGCCAGATGATTCCCAGGGAGAAAGGTAATTGGCCTTGGGCACTGTTTTTGGTGACTGGTCAAATGTTCTTCAGAGGCATGCAACAAAGGCAACGGGATGAAAGTAAGAAGGTAAACAATGGAACTCCATCAAGAGGCTGCCAGTTCCCCCAAAAAACTGCCATCTGGGGCTGACATCAATCCTTCAAGGGGCAGCTTCGGGCAAACAATGTATCAGGGAACACATTGGAGAAAATTGGCCTCGTGACCTTGGGCAAGTCATTTAACATTAACTGGGCCTCAGTTTCCTCATCTCTGAAACTGAGCTCACACTTACCCTACTGTATATTGTGTGGGCCAGGAGTCATGATGTCTGGGAATGAGCCATAGAAACTGCAGGGCCCTATACACACACCAAGAATTATGATGGTGATTAACATGCAGAATTTTAAAAGAAAAGATTCCAGAGGGTTTCAGGTACAGCCATATTCTGACCTGAATCTTGTGGATGTCAATTCTAAAGGAATAAGATGTAACTCCTTTAACCAGAATCCAGAGAAATTCAGTGTTTGGAAGAGACAAGATCATCTGGACACATTTCCTAATGAAATGCATGGTAATTGGTGCATTTCTTTTGAAACTCATGGTACTTGCTGATTAGTTGTTAAAATAATAGATGAAAGGCCAAAAGCAAAAGGATCAGCCAGAGCAATTAATGCCTAACTGGCCCTGAAGAAAAGTTCACTGGCCCAGTAGCAGCAATCCTTCCAAAATGAGATAAGCACATTTGTTACCAAGAAAACAATTATAAAACCTGAACTGTCCAAAACTCAGCATCCCCTTCTCTCTCATGGCATTTTCATGGCAACCTTAATTTTTACAAAATAATAATAATTGGCCAAATTCATTTTATAAGACATAAATTCCCTAAAAAGAGTCTATTCAAAGATTGAAACTAGGCTTTGGTGTTGAGCAGTCGGGTGACTTCAAATCTCTGACCAATAAAGGGCTTATTTCTAAATTTACAGCAAGGCTGAGACATCATAAGTCACTGTTTTCCACATTGAACTGAAAAACCGAAGACAGGAAACCAGGAAAGCACAGGGTTTTCTGCTCCTTTTGCCCTCAGGTCTGCCCAGAGGTGATGAGCACACTGGGTTTGACCAAGACTAAAAGGCAAAAAGGCTGTTGGTGAGACTGGGGAAAAAAAAAAAACAGAGCCCTCCCACAGTGGCTGCTCCACTCCCAAAGTTTCCCAAGCATCAGAAGCGTGTATGGCAGCTGTGGTGCCCAGCCTTCCCGCTGCTTTTAAGGAGGCCACCCGGCTCCCTGGGTCATTGGGTCTTCAGCTGCAGCAGCACCCAGAAGCAAGTGTGGCAACCTCAGGTCGCTTGAACCCCAAATACCCAACTTGCTTAACAGTCTGTGCATAAGCTCAAAGATAGGCCTCCACTGAAGACATATTTTGCTTTTACTCTTTCTAGGAGGGGCCACAGCACACCCTGTGTCGCAGCAAGGAGAACCACGACCAGAAAGAAAACGGACACCAAGAGGCACGGGCCCAGGCTCCCCACAAGGCGCACGCTCAGAGAAAAGGGGAGCACAGTGGATGGAGCTTTTAGATTTTCCTTGCCAAAGCTGAGCCTAGTACAGGTAGGGGTGGGAGAAGCCCCAGTCTGGCCTGAATGAGGACGCAGCAAGCCTGCATTTAGCCATACAATTGTGTTCCCTTTCCTATTTTGCCTGGCCAGAGTGGATTTAGGGAGCGGCTTCTGAAATAAGTATACACCCAGTGGCACAGAAGCTGCAACCAGCAACCAGAGGTCATCTCGCCCTCCCGGCAGGCTTCTCCTGGAACCCCAGAAGCTAGGCAGCACCAACCAGCCCAAACGGCATGCTGAGGTGTTGGCTTTGAATGAAAGCTGATGACTCTAAACACCAGGGCACGGAGTAATTGGGCTGCACACCACGAGATAATACATTTTCTTCACTGAGCTTCCTCTTTATGCCTAAATGCCTGCATTAGTCTGGATCAATATGCCCCATAACAGTTAATCCATGGCAACCCAGGCCAGCCCAGAGACACCGACAAAGAAGTGCCGCCCAGAGATGCTGCCTCGCTGTGCACATGCATGTGAATTCCAGCCCAGAGAAAGAGGCGGAGGCAAAAACACCACCACCAACAGAAACCAAAAAGGGGAGGGAAAAAGAGCAGATGGTAAGAAATAAACCCCAATATTAAAGGGCTTTTACCGTGGCGGGGAAGGGATAGACGTAGTGACTGTCAAAATGGCCTTAGAGTGACATGTCACCGCCAAGATGATAGAGTATCAGCGACGCTCCTAAAGTCAGGCGTAGGATCCTCCTCACACACCTGCAATGCAGAGACTGCTGCCCGTTCCATAATCCACACTCCCAGCCCCAGCGCTATCTGCAGTTGAAACCAGTCCGGACTTGTGCGGCTGCCACTGTTCCTCCTCACAAAAAGATTATTGATGCATAACATTTCATAATGGCAGAGAGGAAAATTGGCGGGGGGGGGGGTGACCAGAGCAAGAGAAAAACAAAAGGGGAGGAGAAAAAAAACTCTCCCAGCCAGCATCTCACCTTTTATTTGGGCTTCATATTCAGCAATGATCTCTTTGTCTTTCTTGAACTTAGTTTGAGATGACATCTTCCAATGTGGCCAAAGGAACTGTCAGGCTGATTTATTTCTCCTTTTCTTTTCGAGTCCTCTCTCAAGCCCTGGTAATCACACAGCTCTGGTCGATTTCACAGGTTTAGGGACTAATCTCTTTCACTTGGCTGCAGAGCAGGGAGAAAAATCCTTCTCCTTCTGGGAGGAAAAATCTCTTTACTGGCCGAGAAATGGCTCTAGTAGCTTGCTGTGGTCAGCTCCTCTTGCAAAAGAAGAATCACCCTAGGAGCACAGTAACCTGCCCCAGATTTTCAAAGATGTTTCTTCCAAAAATAATAATAATAGCCAAGAGCACTCACACACACATGCAAACATACACACACACTCACGCGTGCACACGCACACTCACCCAGACACACACACAATTGTGATGTGCACACAGGCATACACACACACCCTCACACGCACACACACTCGCTGGATCACTCACACACACACATCCACGAGAGGCGCGGCGCCTCCTTGGTCGTGCAGTCAGCCACTGGCTCGCTTTTGAAGGCTCTGCTAAGTCGATGGTCAGGTTGCCAAAGGACCGGTCATCTCGCCAAAGGACCGGTCATCTCGCATCCTCCCTCCCTTCAGTGCCTCTGGTCTGCTGTCCAGTGAGGATCAAAGCCAGGAGAGCGAGATGGAAGTTTTCCTGCTGCAAAGCTTAAGCTCCGGTGAACCCAGGGCTGGACTGCTCGCCCTGCAGGGCTGGCTGAGCGCTCCCCCACCGCCTACGTCACTAGACTCCGCCTCCCGGATTTTATAACAACTGACACATTGTAGCCTACAGGACAGCAGAACTCACTGCAAGCAAAAAGGGGAAGAAACACTTACAAAAGGGAAGGCAGCAGGAAAAATAATCGGGTTGGTGAGGCTTGAGAGGTTTCTGCAAACTCCAAACATTAGCACTTGGGTTAGGGATTTTTCTTCCAAAAACTAAAGATCTTCCCTTTTTTTTTTTTTTTTTTTTTTTTTTGCATTGTGCAATTTAATTCAATTTCTGGAATCAACAGCTATATGATGGTTTGTCACAATGCCGGGAGAGTCTAGCAGAGGGCCTGACCCATGTAGGGAAAAGCTTCAATATTTGTTGAGCAGTTAGTTGGTGGCAGGGGCAATGCCAGGAGTTAAAGGCATGCAGCTTAGCAAAGCCATGCAGAGCAGGCAGGCTGGAGGCATAACAGCTGGGTCATTGGCTTGTGGGGCTCTGGGCAAATTCATAAGTCAGTTTCCTAGACAGTAAAATCAGCTCTCTTTGGATGCTCTGTTATTCATTCTTTCAACAGATATTTACTGAATGCTTACTATAGGTCTGGCACCATTCTGGGTACAGGGATACAGCAATGATCAGAACTGGCACACACAAAAATCCCTGACCTTCTGAAGCTCCCGGGTCTCCACATCACACAATTCCAGGAGTTTCCACCATTCATGCTAATATTCTTAGTAAAAGCACCCTTGGAGTAGAATCCATTGTGAATGGTGCCCCCTGGAGTTGTACGAGGAAAGAGGCCCTGGGAGAGGAAGTAAAAAGATAAGCATAATCAGTATATTATATAATATCATACAAAATGTTAAGGGCTATGGGAAAAACAATATTGCACGATAAGGGATATCAGGAATGAGAGGAGCTCTTGGGAAGATCTAAGAAGAATGCAAAGCTAAGTTTAGCACAGTGTCTGGTGCATAGTAAGAACTCAATAAACGGTAGCAATTGTTATTACCCTTTTATAACTCCCAACAACTAAACAACGTAGGTAAAAGCACCACTGTTTCACAGACAGTGGAGCAAAGGCTCGGATATGGGAAGTGACTTAACCAAGGCTGTCTTCCCACCCAGGCTGTCTTACACCACACTTTGCTCAAAGTCTCCTGCATTCTACAAGGAAGACCAAACCCATTTCATGTGGAGTTAAAGTAGAATAAATATTCTTCTGTAAAATTGAATCAAGCACTAGAGAGTCAAGGAATTTCATATGCTAAGATAGTCACTAACATGTATTGGCCCCTGCATGTCTCCTGAGAGAAATGTTCCCAAATTTCTCAAAATAGGTATAGTCTTCCATTTGCCTTTTTCTTTTTTCTTTTTTTTTTTTTTTTTTTTGAGACGAAGTTTCGCTCTTGTTACCCAGGCTGGAGTGCAATGGCGCAATCTCGGCTCACCGCAACCTCCGCCTCTTGGGTTCAGGCAATTCTCCTGCCTCAGCCTCCTGAGTAGCTGGGATTACAGGCACACGCCACCATGCCCAGCTAATTTTTTGAATTTTTAGTAGAGACGGGGTTTCACCATGTTGACCAGGATGGTCTTGGTCTCTTGACCTCATGATCTACCCGCCTCGGCCTCCCAAAGTGCTGGGATTACAGGCTTGAGCCACCGCACCCAGCCCTTCCATTTGCCTTTTTCTGAGTATATAATAAAAGATTTGGTTTGGACTCAGAAATGAATAGATTATCCAGGTTAGCCCATCGAGGTGTCCTAGAAGAGGTGACAGGTGCAGTGGGTGTTGCCAGGCAGGCATGGCAAGGGAAGTGAGATTGGGCAGGATGTTCTCCTGGAGCACGCAGAGTGAGCTGGGGCCCACAGGTGGCAAAGCACAAGACCTGCTTGGAGCAACCAAAGGAAGAAGTCCAACTGGTGAATCATGGGGTTTATTATAACCTCAAGCCAGGAGGCAGGAGGTCACGGAGTTCAGAAATAGATGCCACTGGCCCACAGCTCTTGCCATCATCCCACTGCCTCACACCTCCCCTGGACACATTCAGGCCCTTTGCTGTCCTAACTAGTTTAAACCCGCAAAAGCCCCCCCATTACCTGAGAAAGACAGGCACAGAGATTAGCATCCCTGCCACAATCCTAGATTTTTCAAGAAAAATGAGAGTTAAAGCTACGCCTTGGAGTGCAACAGACTGGATTCTTTCCTGGCTCTGCCATGAGCCTTAAGCTCATGAGAACTTGAGCAAGTGGCTCAACCTGCTTGTGTGCCCACTGGTGGCAGGAACTCGGTAAATGTCAGCTATTTTCACCATTATTAAAATTTAAAAATCCACAAATAGTACTAGGAGACCCATGTGTAGGGTGCTGAGCCACAGAAATGTCACAAGAATGTCACAAAAAATCCACACAAAACCAACACCAAAGATGGCAGAGCACTCTGAGCTGACACCTGGCAGAGGCTGGGTTTTGGAGTAAGTCAGATAGTGGTTTACCTTCTGGCTTTGCTGTGCACAAGCTGTGTGTGGGGCTCATGGAGCAATATACCTTCTTTGAGTCTTGGTTTCCTCATCTGTCATATGATAGTGATCCACCCATGGCACAGGATCCAACATGATCATGGATTTAAAGTACCTGGCTTTAAATAGAACAGAAGTCTCACAGACATAATTTCTTTTTCAGGGCTGTTGAAATGTGATCTTCAATGCTGGAGGTGGGATCTGGTGGGCAGTATTTGGGTCATGGGGACGGACCCCTCAGGAATGGCTTGGTGCCCACCTCCACAGTAACGGGTTCATGAGAGATCTGATTGTTGGAAAGTCTGGGACCTCACCCCACTTCCTTGCTCCCTCTCTCACCATGTGATATGCCTGCATCTTCCACTATGATTGGAAGCTTCCTGACGCCTCACCAGAAACCAAGCAGATGCTGGTGCTGTTTATATAGGCTGCAGAACCACGAGTCAATTAAAACTCTACTTTTTTTTTTCTCAAGATGGGGTCTCACCACGTTGGGCCAGCTGGTCTCAAAGTCCGGGTCTCAGGCAATTCTCCCACCTCAGTCTCCCAAAGTGTTGCGATTGCAGCGTGAGCCACCACACTAGCCAAATAAAGCTTTTCTCCTTAATTACCCAACCCCAGGTATTCCTTTACAGCAATGCAAAATGGGCTAATACAGGGCCCAACCAAGCTAGACCTAGGAATGGAGCTTGGGCTCCACAGATACCCAGATTGGGAATAGGAAGAGAGGAAAGAAAAAGAGGAAAACGTCTGTGCTCCCTGAAAATCTATCACCACACACAATGAACCCACATCAGACCTGGGCAGTCCTCCAGCACCAGGTTCTCACCCTTCCAGTCCTTCCCACAGCCTACCCCAGCCCTCCCACTGCCCTCCTGTGACTCCTCCTCTGCAAGGCCACCTTTTCCTTGTTGTCTGAGAACCAACTGCTATTCACAAAGTTTACCCTTCACATGGTAGTAACAGAAACCAGGTTTCTGTTACTGGTGGATATGTGAGGGGAGGGCTTCTACCATATGATTTGATCTATGCCATCCACTAAGGACCAGAAGAGCCCCTGGAAGGGTTTGTCCCCTTTCCTTGGGGCTCATGTCTGAATTCTTTTAGATATTTCTGAATTATACTGATAACTAGTATTTAACAAGTTCTCCCTCCACACAGGCACAGGGCCAAGCACTCTATGTAGATTTTATCACTGATTTTTTGCTACAGCCCCATGAGTCCAGTGCTGTAAATCATCCTTGTTTTCAAGTTGGGTGAACAGAGGCCCAGAGCAGTGAAGCAAGTTACCCAAGATCACACAGCTAGCTAGTAACTTAATTATATTGAAGCCCAGGTCTGGCTCATATCAGAGCCTAAGGACTTAACCAGAGCACTATTCTATCCCGGAGGAATCAGCATAGGAATAATTGCTATCAAGTATTAACCTATTTTTTCATTCCCCATAATTACATTGTTTCAATACAGAGTTCAACATAAAGTTTTACATTTAAAAAAAGAATTTGGGGTTAAAAATATAAGGAAAACGTGTCACAAATGACCAAAGGTGAGGCTTAACTTAAAATAACAGCCGAATAATGCAAAACCCACTGAATTTTTTTCCTGGTAGAAAGAAAAGGCTTCATTTGTAGGAAAAGTGCTCAGAATAGTTTTTGGTTTAAGGTACTTTTATTTTTCTGGTCAAATATGAACACCTCCCCCTCACCAAGATGACTAATTTTGTGACATTCTCCATCTTGCTACCAGCGAATGCATCTTTGGCCAGCTCAGTGAATAATTCTGCCCTTCAAGCCCTGCTCTGCAAAACAAAAGCAACAAGCAGAACTCAGCTAGTTGATGCCAGAATTTAATAGAACTAATAGTGATGATGACAACATGCTTCGTGTGTATATATTGCTTTATATTTTGTAAGACTCTTTTATATCATTTGTCTTATGTGGTCCTCACAATAATCCTGGGAGAGGAAGGAATGGCAAGTAGGGCTGTGTTCAATCCCTGTTTCATTGGTAAGGAAATAAATGGATAAGCAGAGGTTTTGATAGTATAATTGTTTTATAACCTCAAGAGTAAGGATGACCTTTCCAACTGTGTCACAAAACCCATTAGTTGGAAAAGCTGACAAATTCAACTACAGAACGATACTTTCAAAATTCTGCTTGACAAAAGCAAAGTAAAAGACCAATGGCAAACTGAAAAACAGTATTTGCAACACCTATCATAGGGCAAGAAATAATTTTTCTAATATCAATTCAAACAAACACTTAAATGTGAATATTCATAGGAGCACAATTCACAAAAATGAAAAGATAGAAACAACCCAAATTTCCTCCAGTGGATGAATGGATAAACAAAACATGGTATATCGATTCAATGGAATATTATTCAGCCATAAAGGGAAACAAAGTACTGATACATGCCAGAGTATGGAGGATCCTTAAAAATATTATGCTAAGTCAAAGAAATACACAGATTATATAAGTCCTTTTTATGAAATACCCAGGATAGATAAAT